TTAAAATTTTATTTATTTCATAATAAAACAAATGCAATAATAACGATTTGCAACAATTATCATGTAAATATCATCTCTCCGTCGCCCTTATAATGCATAGGAGTAAAGAAAAAATGATTAAAAAAATAAACTTTTTATTTCGGTTTATAACTAAAACATTGTAACACAAAATAAGGCTTAAAAAAATCACAGAAAAAACAAGAGTAAATGATTTTTCTTTTACAAAAATTTTAAAAATTAAAAAAAAACATGTCATACAAAAATTACAAAATAAAATAAAAAGCACAGAAAAAATAAAAGAAAAACATTTTTCTTTTACAAAAAAAAAATCTTTTACCTATATTCTATTATTAAAAAAATAAAAACGTGTCATATAAAAAATACGAAATACGCCTTAAAAAATAAGAACCACAGGAAAAAAGTAAGTATTCTTAAGAAAAAAATAAATAAATTCTGTATTCTGTCTTTATAAGAAAATAAATTTTGTATTTTAGGCTTAAAAAATTAAAAACGGTTTAAAAATAAGAATCACAAAAAGGTATTCTTATAATAAAAAAGTAAGTTCTGTATTATTTCTTTAAGGACGGGGTATCCCTGTGCATTAGAATGGCACCTGTAGACCAAAACTTTATTCTAACCGACTCTGTAATTATACCTTCAATCGTTTTATATTTTTCAGTAAATTGCAGATAAAGGTCTAACTTAGGTAAGGTTTGCATTGATTTTTTTTAAATTAATTGTTAAATATTAAAAAAGAGATGTTGAATGACCTATTTGTAGACCTTTAACTTTGTAAATATAAACAACAATCTATATAAATTGTCTTAAAATAAAACCAAACCTTTCTCAAGTTAAACATTTTTCTATCAAATAGCTAAATCATAATTGAAAAAAAAAAGACCAGACCTAAGAAATATTTACACAATAAAATTGACCTACATTTTTTTATCTGAACTCTGTTATTAAAGCAATTTTTGACTTAAAAATGGTGCCCTTACATTCCTAAAATAATCAATAATTAATTCATACCTACCATCATAAATTTAACCGGTCACGAATCGAATAAAATTAAAAAAACAAAAAGAAAATATCACAGGGATACGCGATCCTTAAAACTTAATAACATGATTTTTTCATTTATTCGTTGTCCTCTACATCCGTTTCAGGGAGTGTATCAGGAACAGACGCATTAGCTGACATAGAGAAGTATTCAGCATGGTAGTTTTCTTTTATTTGCTTTTGGTTGCAAAGGTTTAATAGGTCTTTTAACTTATTCGGACAAATAGCAATGTCAGAGAAGTATGCTCTAGGAACTTCAGCTAGAATATTTTTAATAGGAAAGTAAATTTTAACTGGATTGGTGAACTCGTAATTGGTAAAAACTGTTATTTTGGAAATATCGTCTTTAAAAAAATTGACTTTGGTTATAGATGATATTTTTATCTCTTCTCCCACTGCAGTTTTAAGTTTTCTTGGTGTTATTAAGAACTTCCAATCTAGAAAATGAGTTTGATTTAAGGAGCGGACTTCATACGGCCTGGGTCGCTTTCTGGCATTTCGGATTACTGTTGGCCATTCTGACGGGGCTTGAACAGTCATGCTATTTGTATACCTTTCTATGACAGCATGCACACTATCCACAGGCATATACGTGTGCCCGGCAACCAGATATGTAAGTGATATGCTACTTATGCTCTTTGCGTTCTTCAGGAAATATAAAAGCATTGACAGCATAAATTTATTTTTATTCTATCCTGGGCAATTGTCACAGAACAGGGCTATTGACGAGTACTTTTGTCCTTGGTCCAGTTCCATCAGATACAGGTACAGATTAGAGCAGATCTCTATAACCCCTTTTTTCCCATCTTTCTCACCCCATAGAAAGCAATATCCATTTTGACTACCACTTTCATAAATCGTAAAGTTATAAACGGCATACTTTCTGCTGAAACCGTACACCATACTATTACTATGTGGAGTGGATAGAACTTTCTGTAGGTCGAAAGAAACAACTAAATGTCCAGTTTTCGTCGATTTGCTTTGCTCTTCGAGAAAATTTAATTTGGCTTTGTCCTTATTAGCTTGATGGCTGAGGAAATTTTGTTGGTCAATTTCTGTTCTCCTATTTGCAGGAGTATTCTTGTATCTTTCACATTTTATGCACTTGTCCTTTCGAGGAACGTGAATTCCAATATTATATTTCTTTCTGAAGAGTTTTTTAAAACTTGAAAGGCTCAAAGGCTTTACAGGCACCTTTTCCATGCTTGAAGTATACATTCTGTAGAGATTAGTAAAATTTTTTATATCTGATGGTAGGTACAGCTTTTTTGTCAAACCTCTGCAGTAGTGAGACGGTACTGCTGGCAATCTCTTTACAAAATTATCCAATTCTGTAATCTGTTCATCTGATAATTTATGTTTAGGTACGTGTGTGCCTCGTAAATCTAAATTCTCTTGGATTTTTCCTGCAAAGACCTTCGTATTAACTTCTGGGAAATGTTTAGTGTACTCTGAAAAATATTGAAGACACACTCTCTTTTGTACGTCTCCCTTCATCATGAAATATTGGTATGTGAGGCTCCTTCTGGAATGTTCATTTAGGGTTATTTTTCTTTTTACTGGAACAACATTAACACAACCATTAATAAAAGCTTGTTTTTCTTTATGCGATTTTAATTCCCAAAAAACAGTGAAGAGGTTGTTTCTTTCTTCCTCCGAGAACAGGTTACAGCTATTTACACAACGTCTTTGTAGACATGGGTTTTAAAGAACTCTCTTTTGCCCGACAAGTTCATTTTTATAGTTAAGGTACGCCTTTCCTCCACGTTTTAATTCTCTATTTTTTTTTACTTTGCTGACTGGTCGTTTTCTTTTTTTTCCTTTAAAGTTGTCATCCTCGTCAATCTCTAAGTTGTCATCCTCGTCAATCTCTGAGCTACTACCCTCACCATTGCTCACTTCACTGCTGTGAAAGGAACTGTTAGAAATAGAGGCTCTGTCAGCATCGTTTTATTCTTCACGGACAATATGGGCATTCCTGTCAAACTCAAGCACTTCATTTTCTTCTCTTTAATTATTTTCGTCGATCTCTGGGTCGCTGTCGGAGTAGGGAACAATGTTTTTAGTTAAATTCATAGTGAAAGGGATCGTATTTAATTCCGTCCCCGTTGAATGGCAATATATAGCATCCTCCTATTCTATCGCTTTTGACCGCGGTAAATTCCAGGAACCAAAGTCGTGGATGCGCTGGAATAGAAACAGGGAATCATCGCATAGGAACGGGAATTATTTATTGAATGTCAGATTTTGAACGTAGAGAGAATGGAATGTCGTGATTGTTAAAAAAAGGTGTAGGTTTTGTTAGTTTTATTTGTGATAAAAATGTAAGTGCCTTTTAAATCAATTATTATGTTTCAATTACTTTTATATTATTTAACTAGTTGATGGTTCACTATTTAGATTTGAATTTCACTGTTATAAGTAATTTCATGCTTTTTCTTGACAGCATTTTTTGTATCTGTCATAAAAAATTGCTTACATTCCAATAACGAGTTTATTTGATTTTATGACTTATTTTACTATCTAAATCAGTGAAAAATAGCATCCTTTTAATATTTTAATTTAAATATTTTTGAAGTTTATTGATATTTTATATAAAAATGTAAGTGCCTTTTAAATCAATTATTATGTTTCAATTACTTTTATATTATTTAACTAGTTGATGGTTCCCTATTTAGATTTGAATTTCACTGTTATAAGTAATTTCATGCTTTTTCTTGACAGCATTTTTTGTATCTGTCATAAAAAATTGCTTACATTCCAATAACGAGTTTATTTGATTTTATGACTTATTTTACTATCTAAATCAGTGAAAAATAGCATCCTTTTAATGTTTTAATTTAAATATTTTTGAAGTTTATTGATATTTTGTAGTTATACCAAGGAAAATTTGCTATAATTTTTATTTGACATTGAGATTATTTTTAGTCATTTTTAAAGTTCGGCAAGGGAAAAGTAATATTATATTAGTAAATTATGTGTTTTTCTAACATCAGATATTCACAGCATTGGCAGATCTAAGTTAAAAGTATGAAATGCCTTGTTGATTGATACTAACATTTTCGCCCGTGGCTGGGACAACATCGGGATATGTGTCTCAGTAACTTACCCTATTTTGTCACCAGAATATTCAACTTTAGGTGGGTAGTAAAGCTGTAGAGCTTCCCCATTACCTTGTCCCTACTAACCCTTCTTCAGTTTTGCATCGAGTGTGTTTGAACCTAGTAATGCTCAATGTTTGTTATCTGATGAGTTATTGTTTTTAAAATATTTATTTTATTTTTGCCTTGCAGTATTAGATATTGTTTTTTTTATATAATGTATTGAATATTATTGCATATATTTTCCTGTGTTTAACTCAAATTGAATATTATTTCATATATTTTTCTGTGTTTAACTAAATCATCGAGTAACTAAATGGTTTTTTATATATATACTTAATTTGTCATTTGTATCCAAATTGACGTTTGATTGGTTTTATTGTATTTATTATAACTTTGGGGTTTTCTTGCTGGTTCTTTCCCCTCATATGATAAACTAATTATTTTTTATTGCACCGAACCAGACCTATATTTAATCTTTATAAATATATTTTATATACTTATAAATTTTTACTTTCTGATTCTGTCATCTATAATATTTTCAATAAATATTAGATATAAATCAATAGATATTTTCTTTTAACCTTTACCACTCCCTCAATAACACGTAAGTAGTCAATAGATAACGAATCTTTCAGTCTGTCACTCGTGGTGTCCTAGTCACTTCATAGTCGATCACGCCGCCACTTGATTTATCATACTTTTATAAAAGAGAGAGAGAGAGAGAGAGATATTAGTTAAGTTGTCTCTCTTTATTTCAGTTGGTTACACTACAATAGAAAATGGTTATGTTTGATAATCATTCGCTGAAGTGGGATTTTTTTTTGAAAATTCGTGTACTTCTTGATCGGTTTTTAAAATTTGTTGATCACTACTACTCACAATATTTGTTTGAGCGATAAGTTGATTATCTGTTAATAAGTCTAAATAAACAAAATTTGCATTAGTGTTTAACAACGGTACCTCATCAGTTGTAAGTCTTAAATTATTATCACAGTAATTTTCAATAATTATCACATCATGCATAAGGGCCCTCATCAGGTTCTCATTGCTATCATTATTATTTTTTGCTTCTACCTCTACACTGGGTTCCGATGGTCCTGCTAGTGCCATTTCTACATTGCCATCATTATTATTTTTTGCTTCTACCTGTACACTGGGATCCGATGGTCCTGCTTGTGCCATTTCTTGATAACTATCATTATTTTTTGCTTTTACCTCTACACTGGGTTCCGATGGTCCTGCTTGTGCCATTTTTGATAACTATCATTATTTTTTGCTTCTACCACTACACTGGGTTCCGATGGTCCTGCTAGTGCCCTTTTTTTATGTTTCTATCATTATTATTTTTTGCTATTACATCTACACTGGGTTCCGATGGTCCTGCTAGAGCCATTTTTTCTATGGTGCTATCATTATTATTTTTTACTTCCACCTCTACACTGCGATCGAATGGTCTTCCTTGTACCATTTCTTGCTTGCTATCATTGTTATTTTTTGCTTCTACCTCTATGCTGGGTTCCGATGGTCCTGCTAGTGCCATTTTTATAAGTTTTTGTGATCTCGACATCTGCGAAAATATATTAGGCGTAAGCGACAATTAAAAATGAAATTTTAAAATATAATATTAGAGCCGTTTTTTAGAGGATAATGAAATAAATTATAAATACACATCAGTTCCTAACTAATTAATGCGAAAAGTAAGTTTAATCACTTGAAAAATCCAAAAGTTGATCAAAAAGTAAATAACAATATTGCACTTACTATAAGGAAATGGCGTTTACGCCTGCAACATTTTACAAATTAAAAAGACAGGAATACAAACAAACAACTTTAACTGACTTTTTGGATAATTATAAAGTACTTTATTAACTAAAACGATGTAATTGCGCCTCTTAGCTTCATTAAACATAAATACAAGGACTTACCTTAAGAATTAAAACAATTTAACTCACAACAACGTAAGCGACATCACTCTATGACTGGCTGGCGGTTACTGATTCTCAATCGTGTACTCGGCGTTTGAACGTGGCGCTTACAGATTTCAAATTCAAATTTTAGGCGGTACGAATTTTTGTCAGATACGAAAGACGTTGCAATCGATAAAACTTAACCCCACTTTTTAAACGACATCAAAATTTCATTTTCGCATTTTTTGTCGCTTACGCCTTTTTGTCAGAACACCGTCGAGATCTATTAGAAAAAATTCAATATAATTCGCAATATCACAACTATAATACAAGAAACCAATCTAAATTTCATGTACGGCAAGCCATCACTAAAAGTTCTCAAAATACAATTTTTATTAAAGGTTTAAAAAATTTAATAGACTGCATACAGAAATTAAAAAAAAAACAATAAATTTATTCAAAAGTAACCTCAAATAATACTTGATAAATAAACAGAACGGATATACTTTCTTGTGATAATACTCTTTAAACCTGCCCTTTTTAAGTATTTCCCTTAATTTATTGTTAATTTTCCCCTTGTTTTATCCGCATTTATTATAGATTATTTGTTTTGAGATCATGTACTTTATTTTAAAAAATTACTTGATGTTATATTAATACTACTTACTATGTTTAAATTATTAATAGTTTTGCAAAGATATGTTATAGCAACCTATAGCCACAAAACTATTTTTGTGTTAAAGTAGATCCATAGAGAGCAATGTAATTTACAAAGGCCTTCTTTCAACATACAAATAAATGACAACTTTATAATTAAAATGAAAAACACAATAAAATACCCATGTATCATAAATGATCCAAATTTGAAGTGGGCATTATATATCCTTCCTCTTTTTCATTTAATAAAAAAGTGCTTTGTATAAGAACATTTTATTATCTGTCTTGCTGTACCTTTATTTATGAAGAGCCTAAATTGAGATATTTATTATTTGCAATAAATATCAAAAGAAGTATACATTTTTAAATAATTTGACATTTAAGAGCAATTCAAATATCACAGTTGACATCTTGATACTTGACAGGCACAGCCAAGCATTATTTTTATTTTTGCCAAATAAAATAGCCGGTTGCGACAAAGAACCAGTAAATTTGATGAAGGTGTTTTTGTGGCTAGGGGCGAAATAGTAGTACGCTTAATAGCACCACCATAAAAAGTCATTTTTAAGAAACTGCTTATATATTTTTCATAAATTGGCAGGCTTGGCGCCTAATTTCGAATGAAAATAGCCTCCAAAATGGCTATATGGTTGCAAGTATGGTTGCAACCCGCCTTAGAAATTTCACCTTTACTATAAACAGCTGTTGTTTGGCATTCATAGAATGTGAATAATGTTAGGAATTTTGAAGTTAAAAATAATTGAAATTCCTAAAATAATTACATAAGGAATGCATAGGCGGATTTTAAGAAAATTGTTATTAAAGTAGTTAGGATGAACCGAAAATTCTGAAAATCAATAGGGTTCTAAGTTAGAATTAATTATTCAAGAAAATCAAAACCGCAAGTCAATCAGAGTAATCGTGCCGGCATACATACATACAGACAACATACAGACAACCAGACGAAAAATTTTTTTTTTGGATTTTCGAATTCAAAATGATCAGAAACACAAAAAAAAGTTTTAAAAATGGGGGTCAGAAAATTTTTTCGTCGGCACGAATACAATACTAAGGCCCCATAGGAAGGGCCTCAGTAATATTCTCTTTCTGAGATATTGTTCTAGAAAGGAAATCATGATTGCTTCCAAAAGCTGTCTCTTCGACTAAAATATTGTACCTTTCCATACTTTCAAACCACAAAATTTGACAATGTTTAGAGAGTAAAAATACCTAGTAAACAAACTTTTTATGAAACATGAAATTCGTTTTCGGTTCTGTACAATACGAAACTTTTCCAGTTTTATTTTCGGTTTATATATACTCGTACATATAAAGTTTATCGTTATTATGAACTATAAAATCTTTATGCAGAAAACAAATCTAAAATATTATTAGAATGGCTACTTCTGTTACAGAAAACTTTTATTATTATTATTAGTTATTATTGATGTAATGATCATAGAAAGGCGGATTAAGATGGATACGAAGATAATGAATTTGGATTAAATGTGGAAAGGTTTATGACGAATGAGATTTTAATATTAATGTATTAGAAATAATATGAAACAAATGCAGTTAAAGATATGCACACGTGTTTATTGAATAAGATACGAAGAAGTTGGTACCCTTCGACCAAAAAGGAAAATTATTACAGATAATTTAGAATATTATATGCATAATCAAAAACCAATGCGATGACATCACATAAATATTTGAATGACTTGTAAATAAAAAAAGATTTGCACCACTGTTCAGTTTTATTTCTTTTTGTTATATGGGTAATTTAATTTATCTATTACCTCCTCGTGTATCTTATTGCTGCTATTAACAGCTATTTCATTGCTCACAAAGCAATCGAAATGTGTGAAATTTGAGTATTTGGTTTTAATTCTAGACAGCACAATAATAAATATATTTTATTTATATTTTTTTTATCAAAGGATAAAAGAATGAACTATTATCCTACAGAAGTTTTTAATAAAGATATAAAGGGTTCAGCTCGGGGTTCAGTCAGAAAAAAATCTAAAGTTCAATAAACTTGTTAAAAATAATCTATGTGTAACTGCATTATTTTTTAAATGAGACGATCTGAATATAGTTCCTTCTTTTCTCGACTTAATTAAAATTTAAAATTATAGTTAAAATAAAGATATATAATGATTAAAATACAACCAAAATTATCCACAGAAATATCTACAAAACTGAATAATTTGGCTCCCTTCTTCCTTCTTCCAGCGATTCTGATTTTATTAATGCACCGTTCAGGTGTAATTCGGTTTCATTCGACTAATGCGAGGCTTATTGCCTTGATATCAGTGTCGGATTCAGAAGTACCACTACGTCAATTAATCCATATTAGATTAGAAGCTTTCATTTAGATGTTTTTTAAATAAAAATAGTAATATTACATTTCTAAATACACACAGTTTGATAAAAGAGCTATTGGCACTAAACTATTACAATCGAAATGTGAGAATTTCGTGCATTTGATTTTAATTTTATGAGGCACAAAATGAATATTTTTTATTATTTTTAAAATGTATGGAACTAAATGAATGCATAGAAGTGCCTTAATGGATTTTTTTAATTTAAAAATTTCGTGTTAAAATCTAAATGATTGGCAACTCGTGGCCTAGTATACAGGAGGGCTACTTTTAAAAGACACTAAGACGTCCAATTAACATTATCGCAGGCTCTACACGAAGAGAGTCTTTTCTTCATGTCTTCCAAAGCATATGAAATATTTTTCAAGTAAACCCATTCTTGCTATTCCAGGATGGCATATGGGTTTGTGAAGTTCATAAAACTTACTTAGACTTACTATTACCTACTATTTTACTCATTTTATTATTTTATCTATGATTTTACTACTGCATATAAACTTAAAGTAAAAGAGAATATACGATTCGACTCGAATTTGATGTCAAACTCGATAAAAACAATTCTGTATGTAATGTAGTCTATTCGATATAAACTTGTTAATTTTCAAGTTAGTCGGACTTTTTGATAATAGAAAGGTATATGATCCTGTGGCGTAAAATCTTATGGTAGCAAAGAATATATTACTTCCAGAGTGAAACCTTCTCTTTATTAGATTCTTAGAACATCTGTACAAGAATAACGTAACAGAATATAAACACAATCTTTAATTAGCTGATAAAGTTTTCTAAAGCAATTTTCAGAAAGTTTAAAAGAATCATTTATTTCCCTTAGCTTCTTTTTCAGTAAATATAATTTTTTCGCAATAATATAATATTAATCTCCTTATAAATTACCCCATTATGAGTCAACCTCTAAAGTTCTGAAAGCAGGGCTTGTGTCGGGAAAGGACGACTATTATTATTTGCCGTGACGCTCATTTGACTAAGAGTTGAGGAAAAACCCCGAAAAGCCCCATCAATAAACAAAAAGTAAATAAATGATTCGCTTTCCGACTAAATAAATACGATTTAACGAAATAGTAAAACTTGAGTTTATGGTTAATATTTCATTCTTAAATACAATTTAGTTTTTGTTCTTTAAAGTTAAAAAGTCAACTTTCAACCCCTTTGTAGTTAGGTTCAAGACATGCCACCAGATATAATACATTTACGATCATTTCTATATATTTTGTTTTACATAGCAATTTTATTTTGACTATGATCTTACTCACTGAAATTAAAGCAGCTGGTTTTTAAATTATTTCTT